ACAAATAAATTGATATTTATAAAGCCAATAATATTGTATAAAGATGCCTTATGATAACAATAAACATATTATAAAGTATGTTGCCCTTTAATGCGGGCAAATGCACAGATATGCACGCATTGACAGACTATGCTCTTATTCAATATCGTACAACACATTAATTTATACAAAAATAAAAATGTAATCTATATAATCTAAGAAATCTCATTTTAGTACATTTAGAATAATATATAGATGTTTTACATTTATGCTCCAAGTACATGTATATACTTTTATTACCAAGGCGACTTAATAAAATTATTGATGTTTAAAATATCCAATTTATATTACATTTATATTATACAACTATTTAGTAATTTAATTCATTAATTGTATTTCTATAATTGAACAAAATTTCACAACAATGCATTCAACATAAGAAATAATGTTTTCAATGTTAATTGACATGTTTACTATATTTAATTTATCACGAGACATAATAAGGCATCTTTATACAATATTATTGGCTTTATAAATATCAATTTATTTGTAAAGCGAATTAATAATTTATCATTATTATATTAATTGTTACTATGGTTAATAATGTTATTGAATTTTTATAATTTAATTAAATATAATATTAAAATAAAAATAAGTAGTTTGAAAAGTTGTATAGGTATTTATCAATTAGTTAATCAAGTTAAAATTAAACTTACTTAATGTTATTAACTTGCTAATTGGTTCATTAAATAAATGCAAAGATAGTTTATGCAAACAGTTTATTATTTATAAGTTAATGATTCAATTTATAATCCAAAATATTTTATAAATCACCATGATTTTAGACATAACTAAACAAGTTGTATATCTTCATTCGGTAATCCCCTTAACTTATATTAACACAAACCATACATATTATTGTCATCAATATAATCATTATAATACAAGTCAACATGGACAATTGATTTTATACGCTTTGGTAAGTGTAATAAACTACATCATATAGATGATTAAGATAAAATGCTTATACATTTAAAGCCTATGAAAAATATACTATTCACAGTTGGATTGGTGTTACTGCAATATTTAACATGCACATTAAAACAAATAATTTCATTCACGACAGAGTTTGACAATCCCGAGGTTAGTATATTTAGTATAATAATTGCGTATAAATGTATAAAATAATTAGCCATGGTGGTTTAGATAATAACCAGTATCGACGCGTTTCCATCGATCGCATTGCCATTACTTCAGGAATATTACAATTTTATAACATTAGAAACAACATATTTTTTTGAAATCATTAGTGGTTTAACCAGATCAAGGAAAATGTCCGATTTGGCCTGGATACATCTTCTTGATTATCAAGTGATATAATTTTATATAATTAAAATTTAAATAATAATAAAAGTATTCTATAATAGGTTTGGTTATACATATTATTTTCATTTCTAATTTTATCTTTCATTATTAATTATTCATATAAACAGCCGATAAAATCCATTTCATTTAATCCAATGATTGAAATATTAAAGACTTATCTAAAACAGAGTTCTTTTGTATTTAATAAATACACAAATATTAAACCAATTGAAGGATTGGTAATAAATTTAAACCCAATGGTTATTGTGATGTATATATGGATAATAAGTACACTAATCATAACGAGTGCTTTTACAAGTGTTTTATTGAACACGTATTTCAATGTAAAACTCATACCATTTGTGGAAACATTGGAAGATATTATTAAAAATAATAATATAATTATTTCAAGCCCTAGTGTAGAAACAGAAGCTTTACAGATGGTTATAGATGTAATGGATTTTACTAAACATATAGATCCAGAAATCAGTCAATTATTAACAAAACTACATGATAAGATATCACATGGTCAAAATGATAGTTTTAACGAGAAAGTAATTCCTAAATTATTAGATGGTACGTTAGTATTTGTTGCCAACACTTATACTATCAACGTGATTAGTTTATATTACAGAATGTATAGTAATTTGTTTATAAAAAGTGAGCACAAATATTTTAACCAATATTTAAATTATATCTATTTGAAAAATCATCGATATCATGATCGTCTAAAATTTATGTAAATGCTATTTAATTGTAAATTAATTAAAATGATGCTAACACATTTTTAAAATAATTATTTTATAGTTTCACCAGATTCATCGAGAGCGGATTTATTTACCATTTTGATACTATTGCAGAATTATACACAAATTATGCCACATCTTGTAATTTAATAAACACTTCACAACAATCAAACTATATAAATAATGATATTATAATTAGCGGCACAATTAAATTAAGTGAAATGTTTAGCAATGTTTTTAAATTTCTATTATTTTTCTATTTGTTTGCAATTTTCGTACTATTATTTGAAATAGTAATAGGTTTCACAATAATTGTTGTAATTATAAACAAGATTGTTAGATAAATCTTGTATATTGTTTTATTAAAAGTGTACGAGTAACAATTAGGTTAACATAATTATTCTAATGTTATTCACTGGCAGAAGTTTTATTTGAGATTTCAAACAAATGAAATAATCTTGATTAAAACTATAAACACACTATATATATTTTTACTTAAAGTATAAGTTGTTTTTAATAAAAATGATTTTATAAATTAATTGTTTAAACCATACATGTCTCATTTTTATGTAACAATCAATAAGAATGTTTCAGTAATTAAATAAATTGACTTTTATAAAACTTTATCAATAACATTGTAACTTTATAAATGCTTTGAAAATGTACATTTATTATTTAGTGTCTCTTATAATTGCGACTATTATTCTGGAATCAATATTTAAATATAATTAAAAGTGTAATAATTATATTGAAAAAACACATTAATTATTTATCAAGATTCTCGATAACAGCGCGGAGTCCATTCCAGGCTTCAGTAGAGACCGGTTTGATAAACTTGGGATCCAATATAAATCCATCAGGGTGGGATCGGTCCGGTCGTAGCTCAATCGCAAATGCCATTTGAATTTTAAGCTTGTCGTAAACTATTTAATATAAATTTACTCATTATAATAACTTATAATTTGTATAGTTAAGCGTAAAACAACTCACCGTAATCAGTAGCACAACCCGACGCTACGTCTGTTTGAATTTAAAAAAACAAATTTTATATTATTTTAATTATAATTAATATAGCATAAACAATAAATAACTATAAAAAACAATGAAAATAGTCATACAAATAGTTTTGGAAATTCCACCAGGAGTATATGTGACATTATTTGTCGCTTTAATAGCATTGACACCCAAATAAGCCAACTTATCCTATTTGAAAAAATGTAACAAGTTAAATTACAATATACACCAATAATGCATTAAAACTAGATAAAAGTACAAACCAATTGGGCATAATTGGGTGGATTACCCGCTTTATGACCCCACGGATACATAAACAGCTGACCGAAGCAGTGAATTGAGAAATAGCCGGCAGTATTGGACGCCTTAGTGGCGATCAATTCAGACATGGCTTTAGTCTCGGGTTCAGAAAAGGCTGATTTGCCGCAGTATTTATCATCGCACGGGTCAGTCGAGGCACCCGTTTCGCAAAAGGCCGCGTCCCAGCTATAACAATAGGGTTAGTTTTGTTGCATAATGTGTATATAAAGTATACGGTATAATTGTGGTTATTGCAAATGTGCTTGTTTGATTGTTGGAGTTTTATATTTACTTTCTATTAGGGTCGGCGCCAAAACACAGGCCCGACTTTGACCGTGTTTTACGCCATTTTCTGTTTACGGTGTGAGTGTAGACATAACTATGACATAGAATTAAAGATTAATTTGTTTAAGTTCAATTTTGTATTATTTGTTAATACAATACCCGTCGGGGTTAAGCGTGGGCACAATTATAAACTCGTATTTATCCAACAGATTATCATAAGTAGTTGTGGTCACCAATTGATTAGTTACCCATAAACAGGCGGCCACTGCCACCCATTCTCGAGCGTGTATTCCTATCAATATTATAATATTACAAAATAATAATGTTATATAAGAATAATAATAAAACAAAAACTGACCACATTCAAAAAATATTGTTTTCTTATTGGTGCCACCAGGTTTAGTGATTGTTAAATAGGGTATTTCCCTGCCCTCATAGCTCTTACCAACGCTACCATACTTTGCTTTACCACCTGTTATGAGGGTATAAAATAAACATTTATTTTAATATTTAAACTTTTGATGCGCCAAACCTGCGGATCCAATCCTCTTGAGTTCAGTCGTGATATCTTCGTAAGTATTATATTTGTTGTCGTAATCAAAGCCCACTTTACCCGACTGTCTAGTGTTGGCCACCCATTCCCTATCGATCACTGACTGGAAGTTATTGACGACCACTTTGTATGAAATGTTTGACGCGTTCAACGCCTGTAGAAACCGGCCTTCGGGTCCGACGAGAGCCGTGAAGGGACTCATGTCTGGCGTGGGATCAGCGAAAAAGTCTACATTTGACTGAAAATAGTAGACACAACATAATAAATACAAAGAGTATGGTAAAAACCAAAAGTACTTACACCAAACACACGCTGGAGTCGATGTAATTGTTGCAAATCGATGTCATATTTGGGATATATTTTAACAATTTTATAATCGCTAAAATCTATTGGCGCTTCCGATACGGCGGCACTTATTGTGTGAACGAGTGCTACGAATGCAAGTGTTTTGCACAACATTTTAATAAATATAACTTTTATTCGTGTGTCGCACAAAATAAATGCTTCAATTCATGCATCGCTTCTCACTATTTATTTTAATTTTTATATTTGATTTGATTTCACTTTTATTTCAATTATCATAAGTATTAGTGATTATTATAATCTCTATCGAGTATTAGTGCTAAACCCGATGTGGGGTTTCATTTGTAAAAAATTATGATAAAACATTTCGAGATATTTCATTGTGATATATCGCTAAATTGCACTAGTAATATAATATGGATTAACCTACTTAATATACTGTACTACTAGCGTTGCCAGATATACAGGAATGACCTGTATTATACAAGATTTGGAAATTGTATAAATTTAAAGTTTTGCTTTACAAACAATAAAATACAGGAATTTTTGGTAAAATTTGCACAATTATACAGGAAATCCAAAATATTTTCTGACAACGCTATGTACTACTAATTTATCAAACATTATTATCTAATTAATTAATATTTATTTATGGAAGTATTGATTATTTTTGTATTCAAAACATTTCCATGACTTGATAATGATATGACTTTGTTTTACTTTGTTATATTTTGTTTAAATAATAAAACCACAAATAATTGTACATTTCATAATAGTAATATAAATTAATGTTCCATTTTGTAATGATTTTGTGAATTATGAATTGTATTAAGGTACATAAACCAACATTTCCATGGGCATTTATCATTAATGTGATGACATTATAATCCATTATCTTTAGCACAATAAAAACACTTCAAACAATTATCAGCTAGATTTAGAAATTCTACTTTTATTACCATCGTCAGTACTTTAGGTAACTCTATTATAAAACGAAGCATATGTTGAGTGTTTAATTGCTAATTCATATAACTTTATAATGCTATAATAAAATTTTCAAAATTATAATCTAAAATTACTTTAAATTTACATTTTATTTACCATATTATAAAAGATTATTATTTAAGATTGAAAAATACACAAAAAATAATCAATTAATTAATTAATTTACAGTAATTAGCAATAGGTACTTAATTGTACTATTTATAAGTTTTAATTAAAAGTTTTAATTAAGTATATAATATAATTGACTATAGAGGGTGCTTGTACAATTTTGTACTAAAAACATACGATAAACTGGTTTACATAGACAATTTATCTCTCATACATACACTGTATATTTAATACTGTATTCATTATCAACGCATCGACTGTACCCTTGTATGAGTGCTCACTGACGTAAACATACAAACTGTACGATAATAACAAAACAGTGAACAAAATTGATCATGTACTGAATTAGAAATACAAAGTTCATGTTTATTTTAAAATATATATATAATTAATTTATAATTAATTTATAATTAGTTTCAATGTTTATTTCAATAGTTTACTGTCATCATGGTTAAACAGTTGCAAAAATTTTAATTAAATTTAATAAAATAATTATATTTTCACATTAATGTGTATAAATATAAACTTGGTATAAAACTTATTTGTTTGTAATAAACTATCCATACAACTTACTCCATTCATTAACAACATCGTAAAAACATCACCATGGGCTTATTAAACACTGGGTGAGTATCACAACTAAATCTAAACTAGAACACACAACCTAGCACCAAAACTAACCATGTTATAAATTCAACGACCAGTGCATTGGCGGGCAAAACAATATTCATAACGGGTGGCAGTCGTGGTATAGGGAAAGCCATAGCCGTCAAAGTGGCCAAAGACGGGGCAAATGTTGTGATCGCCGCCAAAACAGCCGAAAAACATCCCAAACTCGAGGGCACTATCTATACGGCCGCCGAAGAGGGTATGGCCTCCCGGGGCTCACATACACACCTCATACTCTATGTCATCAGTTATATCATAAACACTATAATTGTCTACTTATTTATCGCCCCTCTCTGTAGTGGAGGCCGCGGGCGGTAAATGCCTGCCCATACAGTGCGACCTCCGGGACGAGGCTCAGGTGCGGGCGGCCATCGACGCGGCTGTCAAACGGTTTGGCGGTTTGGACGCACTCGTCAACAACGCCAGTGCCATCAGTCTTACCGGTATTATTACTAGTAGTCACTCCACACCCGTTAACTATTACTAAACCTCTCCCCCCCCCTCTCATAGGCACCGAAGCGACCACGAT